ATGGATGGATGGATGGATGGATGGATGGATGGATGGATGGATGGATGGATGGATGGAATTATCTGTAAGCCATAATCATCGAAACTCAAGAAACAGAAGTATTTCATTCTCCATGTAATGAATCTATGTAATAATGAGCTTCACTTTCTGAAATGACTAAGAAAATAGAGGTTTTTTCAATGGAGATGCACCTGTTTGTGTAAAAGGAGTTTTCAGAAGTGAGTGTGGAGCAGTTACCTGGCATGCAGATCAGTAGGAGGACTCTCATGGTCGCTCTGGGAGGTAGGCTGACTTTAACCCTGAGAACGAGTCGACATGAAAGAAGGAGAGAACTCGTAAGGGTTTTGTTCTGTCTCCTTTTCTCCTCCCTCTGTCATCTTCCCAGCCTCCCCCCACTGCTCTCCCCTCTCTGTGCCCTCCTTCACCCCGTCATCCTCCCTCCACTGGCCTCAGTGAGCAAAAGGGAAAAAACTCTAACAGCAAGAATGTGACACAGATGAACAATCTCTTTGGGGGTGTTTCTCTACATTTTCTTGCTGCAGCAATTGTGGAAACTGCATTCCAGGAAAAGAAACAGAAGACCACTTACCCCCCACCCCCCCGTCCTGTGAGCTTTCTTCATCCCTCCCTCCTTTTGTCTCTGCATCCTTCATTTCCCTTCTGTCCCTCTCTCTGGTCATTTCCTCCAATACCTCCCCCTCTCCTCCCCCCCCCCTTTCATTGTTCTGTGGTTCAGTAAAAGTGGCATGTGGGGCAACACTTCACAAAGAAGTAAATCTGAATCGAGTTCAGCATAAAAGTATTTTGCCCCCACATCAAATCCTCTTATCAGTTTGAACACCAGCTGAAAAAAACTTGTCTAATTTCCCCCCAGACACTCGGCCTTGATTTTGTTTTTCATGCATCTACAAATCTCTGTGTTTCAGTCTGTGCAGCAGTATACCACACACACACACATACACACAAACACTATTCTTCATGTGCATCACGGTGACTATTGGAAACCATATGCTTTTCATAGCAAACATCTGGGAGCGATTACCCCCCCCCCCCCCCCCCCCCACTCCTTTCGCTCAGTACAAACTTCCCTTTTAGGCTACAGGGACCCTTCAAACACTGTGGGGACAGAACCAAGAGATGCTCCGCTGTCATCCATTTGTCTTCGTGACGTTTATTTCTGTCTAAAAGAGAACGATCACAGAGCTGATCTAAACCATGAGGCCTCATTAACCCCCAGGAAGCAGCAGATTTCTTCTCTTTTTTTCCCAGTTCATTAGTTTTTTCTGCAGGCTTCACTGTGAGGTCCTCATTTTTCACCCCTTACACAGCTCCACGTCAACTCTCAAGACACATTAACATAAATACTCTTTTTTTTAAAAAAAACTGCTTTAATCTTAAAGAGCTCACAATGTTCTAATCTGTGCATGTCTTAACTTCTTCATCTTTTTATTAGTCCCATCAACATGCAGAGTAAATGAGAAGCAGATGAAATGCAATCAGGAGCTTTTCTTAGATGTCTTACCTAACTTTTGACTCAATTAGCTCCGACCTCCACCAGCTCTGATGTGTCTTGTGAATGAAGGAGGATCCTGCAACGCCACATTGTACCTCCCTGCATCTGCAGTCTCCTCCTCCAGCAGCACCCCCTCCCTGTCCCAGTACAGACCCACAACAACATAACCAGCCCCCAACATACTGTGCAGCTAGAGATGGATGTGAACTTGATCAAATGGGTGAAATGGGTTTATTTATGCAGTGCCTTGCAAAAGTATTCGTCCCCCTTGAACTTTTCAACCTTTTGCCACATTTTTGTTGTGGAGAAGTTTAAAGTTGGATTTGGATACAAAAAGATTTCCCAAGCTTTAAACATCCCAAGGAGCTCTGTGCAAGCAATCATATTGAAATGGACGGAGTATCAGACCACTGCAAATCTACCAAGACCCGGCCGTCCCTCTAAACTTTCATCTTGAACAAGGAGAAGACTGATCAGAGATGCAGCCAAGAGGCCCATGATCACTCTGGATGAACTGCAGAGATCTACAGCTGAGGTGGGAGAGTCTGTCCATAGGACAACAATCAGTCGTACACTGCACAAATCTGGCCTTTATGGAAGAGTGGCAAGAAGAAAGCCATTTCTCAAAGATATCCATAAAAAGTGTTGTTTAAAGCTTGCCACAAGCACCTGGGAGACACACCAAACATGTGGAAGAAGGTGCTCTGGTCAGATGAAACCAAAATCGAACTGTTTGGCCACAATGCAAAACAATATGTTTGGCTTAAAAGCAACACACCATCTCCACTGTCAAACTTGGTGGTGGCAGCATCATGGTTTGGGCCTGCTTTTTGTCAGCAGGGACAGGGAAGATGGTCAGAATTGATGGTAAGATGGATGGGACCAAATACAGGACCATTCTAGAAGAAAACCTGTTTGAGTCTGCAAGAGACCTGAGACTGGGACGGAGATTTATCTTCCAACAAGACAATGATCCAAAACATAAAGCCAAGTCTACAATGGAATGGTTCACAAATAAACGTATCCAGGTGTTGGAATGGCCAAGTCAAAGTCCAGACCTGAATCCAATCGAGAAATCTGTGGAAAGAGCTGAAGACTGCTGTTCACAAACGCTCTCCATCCAACCTCACTGAGCTCGAGCTGTTTTGCAGGAAGAATGGGCAAGAATTTCAATCTCCATGTGCAAAACTGATGGAGACACAAGAGACTTGCAGCTGGAACTGCAGCAAAAGGCGGCGCTACAAAGTATTAACGCAAGGGGGCCCGAATAACATTGCACGCCCCACTTTTCAGTTTTTTATTTGTTAAAAAAGTTTGACACATCCAATAAATTTCATTCCACTTCACAATTGTGTCCCACTTGTTGATTCTTCACAAAAAATTAAAATTTTATATCTTTATGTTTGAAGCCTGAAATCTGGCAAAAGGTTGAAAAGTTCAAGGGGGCCGAATACTTTCACAAGGCACTGTAGATCTCCAATTCACAACAGACCATCCCAAGAATTATTCAAAAGAAAAAAAGACAAGTCCACATCCTTAATCTAATTCAGATCCAGGTTTTAATCCAGCTACATTTAATCCAGTTTCAATTATAAAACAATGCACTTACCGTATTTTCTGGCATATAAATCATAGTTGTTGTTGTTTTCAGATTTGTCAGTCCTGTGACTTATACACCAAATCAAATTGTATACATCTTTTTTCTTCTATATTCATAACACAGTTTTTGACTGACGCTTTAATTTTCGAAGAACTGCAACAGCGAGTCCTCCCATGCGTGCTCGCTTCACTCAGCTGGCACAGGTGGAGGAACACTGGAAAGCTAGGGGCTCCAGCCGCGATGGATGCATGGATGGTGCTGCGTCATCCAGGCGAAATTAAGCTGTTTTGACCATTAAAGTGCATTTATTAAGGAAAAGTTAAACTTAAGACACACCTTTGCTATAATGTTGAGCAAACAAATAATTGTTTTTAAGTGTTAATCTTGTTAAAGTTCGAAGAACTGCAAAAGCGAGTCCTCCCGTACGCACTCGCTTCACAGCTGGTGCAGGTGGAGGAAAACTGAAGAGCTAGCAGCTTCGGCCACAATGGATGTGTAAGTGTCACCACAATGATTGATTTATGTTTTAAACGGGTTCATATTTGTTTTCAGTAGTTAGAATATTTTGTTT